GTGACTATGATGTAGTTTCTGTGCTTCTCTATTCGAATTATGAAATATTTGAAAGATTTCATAATTAAAATTTCAAGAGAGAATTTTAGCAAAGTCTATGAAATGTACATGCTGTTTGACCCAGCACTTCTACTTCTAGAAATTCATGGAGATAACCAGCTAAGGTGTGTGAAGATAGTGCACATGTAGGCACGAAAAACCAAATGCTTTTCTCTGGATAGTTGGGGAACTACCTTTTTGTTTTTTTGTATTTTCTAGGTTTTCTACTATGAACTTACAACTACCTTTTGTGATAAGAAAATAAGAAGGAGAAGAAAAAGAAGAAGAGAAGCTCAGTTATGCTGCAAATTCACTGAGGTGCAGTCTCATTCTAGCTCTGGAGGATAAATGAGATATTATAGTATCACAACACTTAATATGATACACTTACTATAGTTGTTTTCCCCGAGGCGGGTGGACCTAGTATTACAATCTTCGGCACTGTGGAATAAAAAGATTTGAACGTCATCATGCAGTGTGACAAAGCAGCCTCCCATGTCTGCGGTATTCTGGGCATACTTATTTCCTCCCCAGATTTCATTTTCTGCCAGTGACACGGCCATCTGTAACGCAGCGGCTCAGAGACGCTCTTGCCATAGAATACATTGTGTTTAGAGAGGTAATGATCACAGAGATGGTTTATTCTTCTATCTCCACGGGGACATGGACACGGTAACTTTTTTGCCAAACTAATAAATATCAAGAACAATTGGGATTTCAAACACCATAAAGCATTTTAAACAGGGACTTTGTTTCAGGGATGCTTTCTCAAATAAAGCTGTATTTTATGTAAATCGACCTTTGAAACTCTTTTTATGTTTATGCCTTTTTATTTAGCAAATTGTATTCCCCATCTTTTACAGAGGAAAATAATGGGAAAAGCCTGGAGTGTATGGGCCAAATTTATAAATCCCAAGAAAAGGAAAGTCTTCGTTTTCAAATATGGACATTTCTATGCAAATGGAAAAAACTGGCAGCTTATCGTCTTGGCTCTGGAATATTCTTGGCCCCACAGAATTCCCAAAGCAGCTACCAGACTACTGCGCAGACGCTGGCAAATGGAACAGGGGCGACCTCTGTGGGGAGAAGGTGCTGACAGGCACGTGCACTTGGGCCAAAGCCAAGGCCACAGGCGGGGCGTCTGGACAGATGAAGCCACGCTGAGTGCCCACCCAATGCCACCTCGATCGTGCTACTTCTGTTCCCCTACTTCTGCAGAGCAAGTAACCTCAGCCTGACGCCAGACCCACAGGGACAGATGAACGGAGGGAGCAGCCTCTAACGTCTGTCCTGGCCGGGCCACCGGGAGGAAATCTGGTTCGTGAAGAGGAGGGAGAGGTGTTACCGTCTAGTTTGGGGCTGGACACAGAGAAGGAATCAGATAGTGTCTTTTTGGCCAGTGATTTAATGATCAGCACATCTACACCCAGCCAGGCTGCTTGGGTTTAAATAGACCTTTGCCCAAATTCATGGCTCCTTCTCATTTTCAGGGAAAACGTGGAGGAAGCGTTCAAGATAATTCACTGATTCACTGCACAAATCCCTGCGTGGAGCTGGATGCTGCCGAGGAAAGCAGGAGGGGCCACGGTTCCTGGGGACACGTTAGTGAGGCAGCTGTACCGGACGACAACTGCAAGTGAGGCGGGCATCCTCTTTGCCCCAGTCTCCGGCAAGGGAACTGCCATCTCCTCAAGGACATGGGGGTTGGACACACGTGGCTTTCTGCTGCTGCTTTCTGTTCCTGATTGCTTTAGATGCCCTGTTGTTTTCTGCATTGTGTGCATTTATACATCTGGCCCAGCAGCCCCCTGACGTGTGAGCTGCAGGTAACTTGCCACTGTTAGTGGTGATGTGAACCAAGGGACGCCAGAGGTGGCAGGCCCTGGATAAGGCAGCACCAGGTGCGCCTCTTCCGGCCCGGGTGGCTGCCAGGGCAACACTGGGGTGCTCCAGCTTAGCAAACCGTTGCAGCGCTTGTCTCTCCAAGTCAGGCTTGGGCTGGGTGTCACCTGCCCAGTATGGTATGATGGACACAGCTCCCGATCTTCTTCTGCCCGAAGGTCTCTGCATCCCTTAAAGTCTCCTTGGACGCTAAGGGGCAGGACCTCTGTAGAAGGCCGAGAGATGTCCTGGTCATCCTGACAGCCTTTTCCTCCAGAGCCCCGTCTAGCGGGGGACGCAGAGAATTACCTGGGATCCCTGAACAGTCCTCTCCTTTAATCTAAGAAGCCTTGGACTTCTCTTATTCTTCCTGCGGGTGTTCCTTCCACATTCCTACCTTGCCACTTGTCATTTCCCCATCAGGAATGTCCTTCTCACCCCTACCCACTCCACACCCACCCTGGGCCCGTGCTGTCTCTTCCTTCTCTGAGACCCTCGCTCTCCTCCTCCCTGAAGGCTCAGGACCGCTGGCTTGCTGTTGCTGCCTTCCACTCTGGTTAGGTTCATCCCACTGCTGAGAAGCCAGTGGCACTGCTGTCCCCCACAGAACAGCAAGCTCCCTGAGGACAGGGACCAAGTCTCATCCTCCTTGCCTGTCCCCATGGCAGACAGAACTGCGAGGAGCCACACACAGCATGGTTTTCAGGAGTGGCCTCCTAGGCTGTCCCCATCTCATTCTTTGGTCTCTATTTATCACCTTTGTCACCATCATTACCACTGCCTCACAAAGGGTCCCCTGCCAGTCAGCGTTCTTGGGTACAAGCCGCAGGAACCAGATGTGGCTGAGTCAAGAAGAGAAGGGCGTTATGCAAAGAACCAGTGTGGCTCAGACCCCTGCACAGGCTGGGAGCCAGGCCCAGGGCTGCCACCAGCCATGATGCCACCACTGCCCAGGAACCAGGCCCCGCAGGGCCACCAGGAAGAGCAACTCCTGGACCACAGTCCAGAGTCTGCGCTCAGCTCACTGGTGCGGCTCAGGTCACAGCCCAGGCCCTGGCGTCATGGAAGTGGGGAAGGCATTTCAGCTTCTGGGGTGGGAGCCGGGGCAGGGACTGAGCAGCCTGTTCTCTGCTCTGGGCCTGAGACCTGGGGCCGGGCCTTCCAGGGTCCTCCCCTGAGGAAGAGAAGCCACAGAGGTGAAAATACCTTGTAGGACAAGTCTGGAAATGAGGTGGCTTTGGGGACACATGGTCGGGTGAGAGGATGAGGGAAGACTGGAGCTGGGGTGCCACGGGAGGTCCGGGGGAGGGGCAGCAGAGAGAGTGGTCGGGGCTGAGGGGCCTCCGGGCTGAGGTGGAGGACCACGGGGAGAGCGTCTGCTTGGCCAAAGTCGGATAAGGGAGCAGCGGGCCCTGGGTCTGCTAACATGCCCGTCGCCTGCTGCCTCTCCTGGGCTCTGACTGCAGGCCAGGTGAAGCCCCTTGGAACGTGGGCCAGACCCAACGGGGCTCAGGGCTCGCAGACCCCAGGAGATGTGGCTCGACAAGGGCATTTTGGGAAGGAGTCTCATTCCGAGTCACGCATTCATCTTGACAAAGTTACCAGGCTGGAAGGCTGCAGGGGAAACCCTCCCCTTCCGGGTTCCTGTAAGTGGCACCCAAATTGTACACATCTATGAAAATACTTTAAAAGGGGAACATCCACGGCCTTTCTCCCCACCTAATTTCTCGCACACATTTATGTGATTAATTTCAGTTTCTTAAAATCTAACACCTTGAAACTCCAGCCCTGCTCATGAGTAATTATTTATAAACAGTGTCATAAAAGGCTGCTTGACTGCCAAGAGTAATCAACTTCTTCAAACCACTTCAAAGGAAATCAAAAAACCTTTCCATCCACGGATCCTTTTGAGGTTTAACTAGGAGCATGATTTAAAATTCACAAGAAAACCCTTAGGTATTGGAGCTCTAATACACAGCTTTCTTGGACAAACGTTTGATAAAAAACGAAACATACCATTATATACACCATCGCCTGCTTTAATATTGCCCAGGGCTACTGTAAATGCTCACTTTGTACTGAATCTGCTTTTCTCTCAGCAAAGGGGCTGCCAGCCCGTGTGCCGTTCCCTCATGTGCATGCTCACCAGGATGAGTCCGGAGCCTTCTCTCCCTTTACGCCCGTCACTGGCCATGTCGCCGTGTGTCATGGCTAACCCCGTGCCCAGTGAGAGGAAGGGTTGAGGTCCCGGCTCCAGTTAACACAGGCCGCTGCGTGGCTGGAAGGAGGCACAACAATCTGACACAGTAGCCCAGGGGAAGAGACGCCCCTCGGATGTCATGGGACCTCTCCAAGCCTCCCGCACTCTTCTAGAATGTACGAGGATTGGGCTTCTCCCCGCCCTTAGAAAAGTCACAAAAGCAAGGTGGTCTCCCCTGCCTCCCCTCCTCCTGCCCCATTTTTGCTTTATGTGTCTGTGAAGGCTTGTGCAAGGGGAGGGAAACCAGCAAATGTCCCTCTCTTCAATGTAAGCAGCTGGGACTTGAGCCAAAGGATAAACATGCTCCAACAGCCATAAAAGCTGCCAGCCCAAGGCCTGGCAGTGAGGACGGAGGGCGTGGGGAATGGCATTACTGGGATCCAGTGACTCTACTCCCTGAGAGCATCTGGGCCAAATGCCTTGACTCCGGCTGTTCGGGAGGACGGACAGGAGGCCAGCCTCAGCTAGCAAGCAAACGAGGCAGGTCTGGATTCCTGGGCCCTGCTTGAGAGCAATGGAGCAGGGTGACGTGGAGAAGGGAGCGAAGGCCCCGTGGAGGGCCACGCGTGAAAGCCTTTGGAAAGCCTGGGTCCTGTGAACAAATGCAAAGGGGGCGCCTGGCCGACGGGAGGAGGTGACCGGGGGAGGAGGCACCAGCGGCGGTGGCTGTCCAGCAGCATCGGCTGCACTGCATCCAACGAGACAGAGGGGATGTTTAAACTTAGAATCCTCATGAAGTGGACAGTTTGACACTGAAAACTAAATTTGTACACAGATGCAAGATCAAAATGTAAAGAGAAGACAGAATCTGCCTCAAATTTCAGGCTCTTGAATTTCTAGGCTGGGGGACTAGCTAAGCCTTGAGGTCAGAGGTTTAAGAACACAGAACATGGCACACACGGGATTTTCAAACCGACGGTAGCAAGTGCCAGTGCATCCCGATTTCTCCGTGTTCAGATGGTTGTGTTAGTATAAAGCACAATTTTTAATTTAGAAACTCTCGTTCGGCTTTTCACAAGTGAAAATTCAACATCTCATCCCCTAAAGCCCCCACCTGTGGGAGCGTCAGGACTTGCCATGCCCTGGGCCGTCCCTGGCAGCCCCCGCTGACCAGGCCAGAGCTTCACAGCCTCTATCTCACTTAACCAGACACACCCATTTTACAAAGGAGGAAACTGAGGCCAAGAGAGAGCAATGATCTCTCACTATCCCTTTACATTTGAAAGGGGGAATGAGTCAATGATTAATGAACGGAAGGGTCCCTGACAGTGGGGTGGCAGGATGGGGGCAGGGCACTGCACGGCAGCTGCTTCTGCTCGCTCTTGGTTGACTTTTGCCTTCCTTCGCTTTTACTTCATACTTTACTTTTCCTTTGCTTTTGTTTTACTTTCACTTTGTGCTTACTTTCCCTTTGCTTTGCTTTCCCTTTGCTTTCCATCATTTCTTTGGTGGTGGCAGCATAGGAGAGTTGGGCACGGGCACAGATGCTGCCAGCAGCCCTCGAGTAAAGCGGCCTAGCCACACCCGAGCTCAGCCTCAGGGCTGGGAGCAGGGGAATGCAGAAACTTCTTCCTCTGGCACACGGAGCCCAGGTCAGTGAGGCCTGGGGGACAGCCTGGGTCTGCAGCAGTAAGGAGCAGCCAGGAGGGAGGGGTGCGCTTAGCACCCCCCCTGCAGAGCAGGTGAATCTGGAAGAGGCACCACGTGATCCCGCACCGCCTGCGCCAGGTACTAAACAGCCACACAGAGAAAGGAGGCATCTGGGAAGAGTCGCTGCGGGGCCAAGTCGTTTCTACCAGGACGGGGGGCTGGGGAGGAAGCGAGTTCGACAGCTCAGGAAGGTGGTTCTCCTTGCCCACTCTGGCACCGCTCCACTGCACCTGGGGCATACGGGCTCTCAGTCAAGTCAGCTGAACGTGGGGATGCCCAGAGAATCACCCACTTGTGCCTAACTAGAGAATCAGAAAAGGGCCTCTTTGCTGGTCCTTTGCTGGGGCTGTCATTGAACCTGCCTGCTTAGGTCCATGCAATGGCACCAGGATCCAAGAAGCCTCTCACTCTATTTCCCACAGCCAAGCCTGGGACTGCATCAGGACCTGTGTGTCTGGCAGCAGAAAAGGCCAGTGTGCCTGGGGCATCTGCAGGCTTGGAGTCTCCTCTCTGTAACATTTTTTAAAAAGCCACTCAGTGTCATTTCTTACCTTGGGCCTTCTGAACCCCACTGCAGGGCATTTCAGGCCTCTGTCCTTAGCTGCACCACGTGCTAATTTCATTAGTGTTCTGGTAGCTCCTTCAAAGCTTCAATGAAAGAAACATAAAAACTCCAAGACACCAGTTCTCCCTGACAGCTCCCACAGGACAGAGCTCACGTGGCACACTGTGGAACGGAGTGCGGGCCCTTCCTCGAGTGAGCGCCTCCCTCCTCCCGGGTTCTGCACTCTGGCCTTGGGTCTGGCCGACCCGCACTCGTCGACTGCAAAGGTTCGGGGAGCTCTGAAACTCATTAACGGCACCGATAATGAGACCATCGGAAAAGCCCAAGCACTTGCCTGTCTAGGCAGACCAGAAACCAAATTTACACCTGACAAGTGGAGTGATCAGAGAGCTTAAACCCAACAGGCAACATCAGTTAGGGCAGGCGGAAGCATTAATAATTTATTCCACGGGCCATTCTGAGGTTTTCATTTTAATAACTTGGCAAGAGAATTTTTATTAGTTGTGCTCCAAAAGAAATTAAGGGAGTTTTCAATTAACTACCACTGCCAAGTTGTCAAAAGCCCTCCCCACCCTGTTCTGACCTCCCTCAGGCACAGGTAGGACAGAGCGGTTCTCCGCTGTGCCCAGGGCAGCGCAGAAGCCCCTGAGGAGGAAGAGGAGGAGAAAGATGGTGGGGACGCGCACCAAGTGCTCACCATTATCGTTATCGCGACGCAAGTGCTTGATCATGAAGGGGATGGGGTCCTCGGGCTGGTGGATCAGGAGTTGCTCCAGCATGTTCTGTGGGCACAGGGCAGACAACGAGGTGGTCAGCACCTGCAGGAGAACCCTAGTCGCCATGGATACCAGCTACGGGGCCTGCTCTCTCACTGCACCCCACCAAACATGCCTTCGACCTGGGACCCAGCCCCTGCCCCAGCTGGCATCTGCTTGGGTCCCCATGAGCAGATGGGGGAAAGGGGCTGTGTGGGTGCTGCCGGGGAGGCGGAGCTGGAGGGCCCTCGCCCGACTCAGAGCAGCAGTCCCAGGGCCCTCTCCCCTGGGTCCCTCTGCGCTGCCCCTACAGTCTTCCCTCAGTTCTTCTCATGCACTGTCGTTCCCCCTCAGGGCCTCAGCGAATGCTGTTTCCGCAGCTCGGAATGCTTCTTCCTCATTCTTGTCCTGGCTAATCTCTCACTCCTCAGATACTAGGAGCACACGCACCAGGTAAATCTGTCGGATGTTCCTGCACCTGCGCCTGCGTCCCTGTTCCTTGCCTCACCTTGTCCCTGCCCATCCAGCCACCAGCCCCCAGCAGACCACGGGTTATGTGGGCCTCACTGTCTTCCTGGACACTCTGGCACCCCAGTGCCTGGCACAATCACAGCAAGTGCACAGTGTAGATGTCTGCTAGGGGACACGGCCGTCACTATTACCTGCGTTCCCGCCAAGTATCTAAATAGTCCTGGGATATCCTGGCCATCTAATCCAACTGAGCAAACATATCAAGGGAAGCCGCTTTTAGGGTTGCAGAACAAATGGCACAGAAATGAACTGTGCAGCTGACGGGAGCTGGGCTGCTGTAATAAGGGGCATCCTTCCGCCCTAGGGCCGAGCAGGGAGGGGCTTTCACCCTCTGGGGGCAGATGGAGTGTCGGGCAGTAAAAAGAGCACTCAACTGGGAGACATCCTGGTTCTAGTGTCGTCTATATCTCACCAGCAAGTCCCTTCCCTTCTCTGGGCCTCAGCTTCCCCACATGTTCAGTGGCACAGCTGGACTCAATTCATGTTTGCATATTGCTGATGTAATGGTGTGAGATGATTCTAGATGGTTTATACATGAATATTTTTCATTTCAATTTTAAATAGTTGCATATTTAATGTGTATTGGAAAAACAACTATATCAGACCCATAATTTTGAGGATATTTCTTAGGATGAAGCAAAAGAAGTTACTTAATTTAAAAAAAAATGAGTTGATTTCAAGAAATGATTACAGTGAAATGGAAATGTGGCCATGGTTATGTGAATCTATACACGCGATAAAATTTCATAGAACTGTACACACAAGACACAAACAAGTGCAGGGGAAAACGGACGAAATCCGAACAAGGCCTGCTGTCCAGGGAACCACATTGTGCCAGCGTCACCTTCCAGCTTTAACCAAGCACTACAGTTATGTTAGAGGTGGTCACTGAGAAAGCCTGGAGGAAGGGCAGACCAGAAATCTATACTACTTTTAAACTTCCAAGTCTAAAATCATTTTAAAATAAGAAGTAGGCTGGGATGGTGGCTCATGCCTGTAATCCCAGCACTTTGGGAGGCTGTGGTGGGAGGATCCCTTGAGCCCAGGAGTCTGAGGCTTCAGTGAGCTATGATGACACCACTGCACTCCAGCCTGGGCAACAGAGCAAGACCCTGTCTCTAAATAAACAAACAAGTATAAAAAATGGAAAAGGTCAAAACCAAGGAGGGAATACACACATGACTAAGGACTGGAACACCGGACTGAAAGGTTTCTTGGGCAGTTCGTCTGATCATTGCTGTGGAAGACACCCCAGGTTCTCTAGAGCAGACCACAGGGCCCCAGGAGCTCCACCAGCCTACCCACTAGCTGCCAACTTCTAACCTACCTAGCTATTTTATTTGTGATTGGACAGTCAAGCAGTTTTAGGAATCTCTCCCTCTCCCTCTGTCAGTTAACACTTTCCAAAGGAAGCATATGTTTGCTGGAGAGATGGACTCAGCTCCCTAGCATGCAGGTCAGCGGTCACATGACCACAGGCATAAACATGGCTGTGCCTCCGTGCATGGGGTGTACCCCCAGAAGCAGACAGATGTTCTGGAAACTGAGCTCTAGCTTCCCTTTGGCCCTCAAAACCTTTGAGTGGCTGAGAGTTCTTCCAATCGAGCTCCTAAAAGCCTTTACCTCCACCGGCTGCAGAAGGAAAACCGGGGCACAGGCGGGGGCAGGGCTTTGCCTAAAGTCACACGGTGATGTGGGGGCCCGGTTAGTCTGGAACCCAGGATGAGACCCTTCGGAGCTGTCGGGGCACCTGGCCCTGAGAAGGGTCATGATGGGCGATGTTGCCGTTGCTGGAGGCGGCCGCCTCAGAGGACGGGGACGCCTCCTTTAACAAGGACAACCTCCAGCTCCCAAACCTGTACTGAGAGGCTCCCCCACACAATCCGACAGGCTCGGAATGGCCGGCGTGGAAGAGCGCCCTGAAGGCCACCTCTGGCAACCCAGCATTTTCCAGGTGGAGAAACTGAGAAAAGGAAGGGCCTTGTTACAGACCAGAAGGCCACCTGGCGGCAGAGCCAGGACCATATCCTGGCCACAGTGGCTGTTAGGGTGTGAAGTGGATCGTTCAGGGCCCTGCTCCCTTTCCTCCCACCAGGCTCCGCCCGAGGTAAACCGGTCACGGCCAGGGAGGGGGGTCTTCAGCTCGAGGGCGCCCTCGGGGTCACAGCTACACAAAGAATAGGACACCCAGAGGTGGGCTGCCTCGTGGGCGAGCGACTCGGCCCCCCCGGCTGCAGGTCTCGTCGCGCACTCGACATCGCGACAGAGGCTCCCCCGCCGCTGCCCGTGTCGTGATAGGGCAGGGAGACCCGGGTCACCTGCATCAACTCGAAGATGTGATTCGCCTCCCCGTACTGGGGCATTTCCGCTGGGATGCGGTGCGGGGCCGTGGTCACATCCATGTCGCCGCTGCGGCGCACCACTCCCTAGTAACCGCGTCGCTAGGGCCGCCGCGCCGCCTGCGTCATCACCGCGCGCCGCCCCGCCCAGCCCGTCCGCAGGCGCCGCCCACAGACCTCGCCCCGGCCCCCGCCTGCCCCGTTCGCCTCCGCCGCGACGTCCTCTGCAGACGCGCTCGGCGGCTTGGACGAGTACTTTCCCCTCCCCCGGCCTCTCCCCATCTGCGCATCTTAACGGGCGACACCCTCAAGTCGCTTCCAGCTGCGCTTTCTAGGATCAGGGCTGCCCGCGGCGGGGCTCCCCCAGTGCGGAGACCCCCGCAACACCACCGAGGGGCCGGGCGGGGGCGGGCGGCGGAAGCTGCGTGGGCCAGCTCTGGCTCTGCTCTCTGGGCCTCAGTTTCCCCGTCTTTGAAATGAAGAGGCTGGAATAGATGTGGGGGGGGAGGGGGCGTCCATGGGACGGGCCGGAGGGCCAAGGGCGTCCGAGCCCGGGCGGACCCCGCCTCCGCCTCCCGGGTGGGGCGGCGCGGCCACGTGACCCGATTGCTATGGCCCCGCGGCAACAATCGGGCCGCGGCCCCGCCCCCGCCGACGTCTGCACACCCCCGCCTTCGTCGCAGGTCCTGGAAAGGGCCTCCCCACCCCTCCGGGGTCCCAGACACCCACGAGTCACCCCAGCTTCTGGGTCTCTGAGAAGCGGAGACGCTCTAGACAAGCGAGGGTAAAGGGGGCCGAGGGCGGGCCCTCGCCGGCCCCAGGACGCGCAAACCGTGGAGGAAGCGAGGAAGGTGGGGGGCGGGCGGTGGAGGGGCTGCGCGCTGGCCCTGGAGGGGTTGCGGGGAGACGCGACGGGGGAGGGAGCTCTGTGAGTCGTGTTTGTTCCCCGGGGGGCCGGGGTAGCCTGGTGGTGGTCGCAGCACTGAACTGGGAGCCCTGGTGCACGGACTGTTAGTTGAACTCTTACATTGTGCTCGCGACAAACTTGTCTGTGTGCGTCACGGAGCAGGAGTAGGCATAACCAATACCGACAGCCCCAAGTTCAAGTCCGGGCTCCACTTCTTACTAGCAGTGGGAGCTGGGCGAGCTGTTGACCTGTCCTGTGCCTCCCTCCCCTCCCGTGAAGTGGGGACTATAGAAGGCTCTCACGAGCTCCTGTTCTGAAGTATTAGCACCTGACATGCAGTAAGCACAAAATACATGGGGGCTGCTATTAGTAGTAGTATCTCATTTAATTTTTGCAACAACCTTGTGAAATAGGCACCTTCATTCCCATTGGCCAGGTGAGAAATTAGAGGATCCGAACAGTGAAGAGCAGTTGGCTGGGTGCCATTGGGTAGATCATTTCCCCTTTCTGGGCTTCTTTTCTCAGTTGTTGATCATAGAGCATTAGAATCGGAAGACCCCTTGAAGAGCCTCTGATCCAAACTCCCTCATTTTACAGATGGATAAATTGAGGCCCAGGAAGGGGAAAAATCTTGGCCTAAGGTCTCTGGTTAAATCAAAGGCAGGGCCAGGGCTTGAACTAGGCATCCCGAGGGCAGCCAAAGCCCTTTGCCAGCAGTCAGCAGCCAAGACGCATGCCCCCCATTGGTAAAAACCAGCAGTGTCGCCTCTTCCCCCACGACCGCTTCCTCAAAGTGTGTACACCTGGGCAGGCTTGTCAAACCCACCTGTAAAGATAGCCATGGAAGAAAAGGAAGCTGCCTTCCCCTGAACAAAGAATACAACAACCAAGCCTGCAATTTGCACTGGAGAGGTTCAGTTTGCTTCCTGGACATTTCTGAAATGACTTGCCTTTCTCCTCATTTATTTTAAGCCCTAGGCACTTTTCATACCATGATTTAATCTTCTGTAACAGCCTGGGAAAAATACAAATCAATTAAAGCCCAAAACCTATTGGATAATCATTTTTTTCCCTCCCTCCTCCCCCAGATTGAGAAGTGCCCCCGCCCCGTGCCTTTCATCCACACTAAGGTGGCTGCAGTGGCTCTGGTTCAAGGGATGATCACTTTGGATAGCTTATTACAGCTCCTCTCGTGACATTCCTGGTGTGCATGTCACAAGTCGCTAGGATCAAGAATGGAGTCAGTTTTGCTCTCAGGGACTCTTAGGGCCACCAGCCAAGGTAGCACTGTATCCCTGGAGAACTTGGCAGCCCCAGGAAGCCCCAGGAGGGTGGCAGGGAGCCCGGCACACAAAGGGCGGCCCCCCCGAATGTTAGTCTTTATTGCTTTGGAATGGGGAAGATGGAAAGTCTAGAGGGAGTAGAAGTGAGGCCCAGGGGTCCACCTCATGGATGAACCCTAGGAGAGGCTGGCAGCTTTCCAGGCCCTTGGTGTCCTCCCCCTACCCCCACCAAGTCAGTCTGATGTCTGGCATTTTTTGTCTTTAAGGCCATCACTGAGGGAGGGAAGGGGGAAGGGAAGTATCCAAGCTGAGAGCCCAGACTAGCTTATCGAGACTTCCTTATCTGGCCTCAGCTTCATTATCTGTCATGTGGGATAATCATGGGATCCTATTCTAGGGCTGTGGTGAGGACTTGAGATAATGCACGTCCCAGAGCCCTGTTGGTGACCTGCTGTTCCCAGGAGGACTGGAGTGAGCACCCTTCTTCAGGACAGGATATGGTTGAGGGCTGGTGTGTGGCTCTAGTTCACCCTGCCCCTACCCAGCCTCCTGCAAATGGCCCTCTTCCCCAGGTCTCCACCACTTCCCTCCAAATCGGACATACTAAGCATTTCGCTGTGAGTATTGTCTGCCTCCAGGGCAAGGAATCTGGTCTATTCTGTCCAGTGCTAGATAGCCCAGCACCTGATAGCGCCTGGCACATAGAAGGAACAAACGAGAATGAATGCACGAGGTGCTTTCCACCCCCTTGGCTTAGATGCCTTCACTGGTTCTTCCAAACACACAGCCTCACACCCAGGGTCCCTCGGCCTGACCCCCTCCATTGTCCTCTTCTGCACCTGCTCACAATGTTCCCATATCCCTGGCCCCCAACCTCTAGCCCAGGTCCCGCACCACCCACCTGCTCCATCTCTCCGAGGTCTGCCTTCTTTTCAAGTCTGGGTTCAAACCTTCCCTCCTCCAGGAGGTCAAGCCCTCAGCAGCCCCTGCAGCCGTTGCGGTACACACCCGGCCTGTTGTGGCACTCCCGCGCTATCACATGCATGCTTTGATGGCACCAGTGACTGGGCCCCGCCACATTCCCACTCCAGGGCCCACAACTTTCGCCTGTCTCATGTGATGCCAACCCCAAGGGTGGGAGACTGATGCTCTTGTCTCTCTGCAGCATGTTAGGACACTGAGGCTCTGAGGCAAGAAGGGATGGAACCAGGATGGGAGCCAGGCCTGTGTAACTCCAGGGCCTTCTCAACCACCACCAACCGCAGCTCTGAGCATTGTGGGGAAAGGCCAGGCCAAGAGGGCACGCACTTCTCCTCCCTGGGGACCCACCTATGTGCCACTCTCTGGCTTTTCTGGGGCTTCACCTTCAGAGTCCCCTGTGAGCCCTGGGCCAAGATGAGGCAGCGGCAAGCGAGGCACTCACCTTGGCACAAAGCTTAAGGCAGGGGGGACGCCGAGAAACTCTTATCATATTTTAATGCCATATTTTTTAAAAATCAAAATTAGTGCCAAAAGTCCATTTGGAATAATACGAGAAATTTAAATAAAGACAGGATTGGTATTACTGATGGTTCACTTTGCCTCAGGCTCCAATATGGCACACACAGCAATCCTGTTTTTAAGAATTCTGATGTTCTTTTTGGACTCTGCTAAGTTTTATTTTTTAAAATATTTTTATCTGGATTGCTGAGTTTTTTGACACTCCCTTAAATCTTGCGTGGAGGTGAGCGCGTCCCTCGCCTCACCCTAGCAGGGCCTTGGTGGGCCTGTCTTCGTGGGAGGCGCAACAGAAAGCCACTGTGCCCGGGTCGGCGCGTCTGCTCCGTCGGAGGAGGGACCAGCCCAGGGTATGGCAGGTGTTCGATTAACCGGGCCCCCACCCGTTCCCACAACCCCGGCAGCCCTTCCCTCAGGCAGCCGAGCTGGAAGGAGGCCCTGCCTGGCCTGGCCTGGCCCAGGCCCAGGGAGCTGCAGCGGCTCCGTGTCTCTTGGCCACACAGCCCTGTGGCTCCTGCCTCGGAAGCGCTCTCTGTATTCCCAGTAGGCCCCTCAGGTGTGTGCGGTGTGACTGTCAGGGTCCCTCTTGAGGTGGCTTCTCCAGGGCAGCCTTGCTTCCTTTCAGGTCCACGGCTGGGCTCCACCTCGCTCAAGGGCCTCTTGCCCCGTCTTCTGCAAGTTCTCTGACTTACTGCACCCATCATTTCATGGAGGCACCTTCTGGTCTATTCTGGTGTTTCCTTTCACTCCCCCGAGGCCATCTCCTCTTGTCGTAGAGACCACCCCCTGCCACCCCAGATCCCGCCCTGCTCTGGACACAGCAGAAAGAAATGCTTCCTGGCTCTATCCTGTTCTCGTTCCTCTCTGCCTGGGAACTGCCTGGAGCCTGGAACGTGCCTTCCCCACTCCAGTCCTCGCCAAGTGTTCTAGCCCCTTCCAGTTCCGGCATCTCACTCAGAGCCTACCTCCCTACCTCGGCACAGCCTCCTCTAAGCCCCGCTCAGGTGGCGCCGGCTGGTGCGTTCCAGCCTGGACTCCATGTGTGCTGGTGGCAGTGGAGGAGCAGCTGGATGTGGCGGCAGTGAGGATGCTGGTTAGATATCAAGACGCCTGGGACCCAGAGTGTCTCTGGAACAAACGTGCTATGACACCCTGGGCAGGTCCTTTCTCTCTGAGCCTCGCTTTCCCCCCAGAGGTTCAGAGGCATTGACCGACTGAGATCCCTCCCAGCTCTAACATTACGGGAAGATGTGGTCCGGAGCACTCTGCACGTGCTCAGCAAAACTGTGATGTCATGGAGTGTAGAACCCACAGCCATTTCTGCTCACAGGGTTCTAGACTTGTGACTGCCTCAGTCGTGACAGGCAGGGACAGTCTGTGAGGTGCCAAAAGAGAGCACTGCCCGCAGCGTTAGTGTTACTAGCCAGGGTGATTCCAGCAGTTAACACTAGAGCAGGCAGGAGTCCGCCAGCCACCAACCCTGCCCAGGGCACTGACAGACCTGAGATCAGGGATCCTGCCCCAAGCACAGAGCAGGGAGACGGCAATCTTCTCAGACCAGATAAGCAAGTGTTGACTCTTCTCCCTGCCTAGTCCGCGGGAAAGAATTCCCAGAGCTTCCCACCGACTGACTGCAGGGTGGCAGATGTTTTAAAATAACTTGGTCCAAACTGATAATCAGCTGGTCTTACATCTGTGGCATATCCCTTGATCCCAGGCTTTGCTGACGCCACAGGGAGGCACTGGAGGCTGTGTTACCCACAATCGGAGACACTGAGGACCAGAGAAATGGTCCACAGCTGAGGGCAGGAAGTCACATTTCGTGGCAAAGAATGTGTCCACGGAGGGTAAATGTCGAGGGTCAGGCGTAGCTCTCTCGTGGACAACCTGGGGGGTCTTTAGCAGATCACCTCCCAGGGCTGCTTCTCCTTTCAGCAAAATGGGGATGAAAACAGCCCCTGCCCCTCAGGCTTGTGGGGGACGCTCGGCACAGCGCCCCACGGAGAGGGGCCGTGGGCATCCTCCCCGGAGAATCCTTCCCTTTGGAGCTGGGCTGAGTGTCTGGCCCCCGGGACGTCATTGCTCTCCCCTTCCTCCCCATAGATCCCTTCTCCCCCGTGTGACCGTGGAGGAGGACGATGAATGAGGTGAAAGAATCCCTTCGCGGCATCGAGCAGAAGTACAAGCTCTTCCAGCAGCAACAATTCACCTTTATTGCTGCTCTGGAGCACTGCAGGGAGAACGCCCACGACAAGATCCGGCCCATCTCCAGCATCGGACAGGTGGCGCCCCCGGCGATGGGCTAGCGGGCGGGGTGACCAGGGACCTGCCAGGCTCCGATTCCGGGGCCTCACCAAGCTCAGTCGCCTCTCTTGAGACAAATGAGGCCCAGAGACGGGAAGCACGTTTGTGCCAGAATCAGGACCCAGATCCTAACTGTTGGAATGAGTTATTCATTCATCCCCCCACCAAATATGCGAGTGACTAACAGCATTAAAGACGTGGGCTCAAGACTCAGCCAGCCAGGGTGTAAATCCTGGCTCTACCACATGCCACCTCTGTCACCTTGAGCCAGTGAGTTGACCTCTCGGAGCCTCGGTTTCCTCATGTTATGTGGATCCAGTGAAATCATCCCCGGGAAATGGGATTTGTTGGTGACCAGACAGATACGGTCCCTCCCATCAGATTCCACTGGGGTGTGAGAACTGCGACATGCTAAGCACATCACTAGTCACTTCTGCAGATGTTTTTATTTAACGCTCATCTTCTTGAGGGTTAGCTGCTGTCAAAGTCGCTCTGTGGAACTTAGAGGCCTCAAGACCACATGAGCCTTCCATGAAGTCAGCGGCTTGGGTCGCAACGCAGCCAGGACACACACAGGCCAGACCCCCTGGGACTGAAAAGATGAAGGGTGACCACTCAGAGATGGGCCGGGAATGCAGCTCAGGGCTCAGAACTGCTTAGTCCGAGAAGCAGGGTCTTGGAGAACAAGCAACCCTTGCTGTCAACATCTTTAAAAACTTTTCTCTAGTTTTTCTAAGATTTCTCCATTTTTTAACTTGAAACATGTTAAATGTACAGACAAGGAACACCCACACAACCTTCATCTAGATTCGCCAGTGTGTGACATTTAGCCCCAGGTGCCCAAGCACTTGCCCCTGAACTATTGAAAATAAACTGGCTACATCCTTTTTTGCCCATCCCCCAGTAGCTCAACCTTCTAAGGGCACTAGACAGGTTTTCAGTACCCCAAAGTACAGACCCACCGCCGAATCGACATCAGTGCTGTGCGACCCCTGCCCGTCTCCTCCTGCACATAAAGGAGTGGCCTTCTTGCCACTCGTGGTAAGCATGGCCTTGTGTTCCGACTCTCCATCTGGAGTGTTGACTCTCCCTCCTGCCCTCCCCAAACCAGCGGTGTCCACAGGCTGCCTGCGCACGTAGCAGCTGCTCTGTTGTAGTGACAACGTGGGGCAGGTGCCCCCGCAGAAGTGTGTGAGTGAAAGGCCTCTCCCCCCTTACAAAGCTGCTGTGGACCTGGCAGTACTTGGGAAGGAACCACTTCGGATCATTTGGGAAGCCATCCCTTAGCAACAGAAAGGCAACTGGTCGGAGCAGGGAAACCCTGGGTTAGATGTAGAAATTTCTGGGTGGGTCAGGGTGCACCTGCGGCCTTGGGGCTACATGTGGCCTTCTGGATCCCTGAGTGCAGCCTTTTGACTGAATCCAAACTTCACAAAACAAAGCCCTTCATGAAAAGGATTTGTTCTGTAAAATTTGCTTTCAGTTGAGGAGCTATCTATACTTGGGGATCTGGAGGGCCACATGTGGCCTTGAGGCCGCAGGTCCCCCTCACCACCCGCTTCTCCATCATCAGATCACAGAGGGTAGAACTGTTTGGCTGTGGAATGGGTCAGTTAATCTGGCCTGGACCAGAGCCAGTTTCCCCAACACAAGATCAGGCCTCCCGCCCTGGCCCACCCATGAGGAGCAGAGTCACTGGGTGGCCCCGGGCAGCCCTGGAGAAAGAGTTTGGCTCAGGAAGGACCCATCCCCCTACCAAGAAAAAGAGCTGAAAATAGATCAGCGTATCAGTATTTTTAGTTAGTACCCTTTATGGCTTAAGAAAGGTTTCCATACTTCTACATCTAAAACATATTCACGTGGGAGTTTTAAAGATTTATTTTTGGTATTTAAGCTCTTGATCCTCCTAGAGTTGATTTTCTTTTCCTCACATGGATGATTATTTTCCCCAGTTCCGCTGAGTGACCTGTCCCTCCTTTCTCTACCTTGTAAGTGCAGTACAGCTAGAGCCCAAAGGATTCCAGTTCCTTCCGTTTCCTCCTCAGTATGGGTGGCCCAACACAGCAGTTCTCAGGGTGGGTCCTCTAAGTGGGACCATGGCATCAAAAGTCAGGGAAGGGAGCGGTCCCCTTTGCTTGAGGAGGTGGCTGGGTTAGGTGACATGGGGACTGGTAAGGGCATGGGCTCAGAGCCACTGAGCTGGGGACAAAATCCAGCTAAGCCTCTAACATGGGTGCCCTGAGCAGGTTATTTCACCTCTCTGAGCTTCCAACATTCGTGATACTCATCTGTGAAATGACGATTTAAAAAGGTTATCTGTTCAGCATGGAGGGTTTCGGTGAGGAGTGAGACCAGGCCTGTAAAGCACTTTGTGTGCAGCCTGGGACACTTGATGTTAACTGTATACGATGGTCTGTATGTTAAAATGCTGAAGCATTGCTTTCATCCCCGCCATGAATCTGGGAGGAGGGGAGGGAACAGGGCAGGTGCTCCTGGATGTCTGCCCCATAAGCCAACCAGGACGTGGGTGGGCATCTCCCCAGCTCACGTCACGCTGGTCTTTGCAGGTGCAGAGCTACATGGAACACTACTGCAACAACTCCACGGACCGGCGGATTCTGCTCATGTTCCTGGACATCTGTTCGGAGCTGAACAAGCTCTGCCAGCACCTCGAGGCCCTGCACTCTGGCACCCCAGTCACCAACAACCTCCTCGAGAAAAGCAAAACCCTTGTTAGCCAAAGCAACGACTTAAGCAGCCTTAGGGCAAGGTAAGTCCCTTCTGGTCCTATTCTTGAGGCCTCGTCACGTGCCTGTGGGAGGCTTTTGCCGAGGGCAGTGACTGCACTTTTCCTCTCCTCTGTCGCGTGGATCACGTGGCTACTGCCCAGACTGCCCCACGCAGGAAATCCTAGTCCCCATTAATTTGCTGGAGTGACTCTGACTCAGTGACACCTCCTCTTCAAAACTGGGCATAGGACCCGTCTCACTGGAGTTAGCACCGAGCAAAGGGAGAAGGGGTGATAGAGCAGTTGTTTCCAGAAGCTCCCAGAGACCCTCACTGATATGCAAAGAAGTGGGATGCAGCAGCACCGCGACTGCAGGTCCTCCTTAGGGCGCCCGCAGCACGATGTGCCAGAGCCTCGAGGCCCTTTTGTAGATGGGTCAAGGGGATGAACCTGCAGGTTTCCTCAGCCCCTGACCCAGGTCTCTACAAACCATAGGTTAGTGGTTCACAACTCACACTTGGGGCTCTCGGCCCGCAAACCTACTAAACCAAATCTCCGGGGACAGACAGCCTAAGCATGGTGCATGTCCAGTTCTGTGCCACAGCATGGTGAGTCCCTGGAGCGTGGGCTCACCGGGCCCCCTCTTGCTGTCTTGCAGATACCCCCACGACGTGGTGAACCATCTCAGCTGTGACGAGGCCAGGAACCACTACGGAGGCGTGGTCAGCCTCATCCCCATCATCCTAGACTTAATGAAAGAATGGATCGCCCACTCGGAGAAGCTGCCCCGCAAAGTGCTGCAGCCTGTGAGTGAGCCCCAGGTGCGCCAGGAAACCACTGGGAGAGCCACTCGTCCTGTCCAGACCACAGGCACCCAGCCTCGGTTCAGAAAACACAAGTATAGGCAACTCACAAAAGACAGGGGGAAAGACAAAGGATGTTCCAAACCTCCCTGGAGACCACCTGGTGGGAAACTGTAACTCAAAGCCAGGGGCCTGCTCCATTGGGGGGGTGCTTTATTATGGAATTTGCTTTCTGCTGGTTGATCCATTTTCTTTGGTGCCCATAGTCCCTACCACTTACTAATCCCAAAAGAGAACAGCCAATATCTTACTGAGAATCTCTCTCCCTCTCTTGCTTTAACTTCTAACTTTTCCGCCTCTAAGCGTCAGGCTCTGTGCTGATGAAGAGGATCCCCACTTACACGAGTTGCCCAAAGTGTGGTGTTGGTAGAGGGTGTCCCAGGAAGTCTGGTAATGAGGAAGGGCACTGAGCTGCACCCCCAGGTCCTCTCTGAGCCACACCCACCACAGTGCCAGGCCTGGCCAAGCTGTGGGCTCCAGCTTTGCAGTGAGCTGTCAAGCTGGAGATCACCTAGCTCCTTGCCCCGCCAAGCAGCCACAACCGTAGGCAAGGCATGCACTCTGTCTGCCAGACAGGATGCTCCCACCTCCAGGATGAAGCGAGGGTCAGCATGTAGAACTCCTCAGTGTCTTTAGTTCTCTGGACCAAAGCCAAAGGGGAATGAACCCACCTCTCCCCCACCTTTACTTGGGAGAGGGGGACCATGCCAGAGGCTGGAAGAATTCTGATTTTATGGCTCCTGTATAAGGACAATGTCCTGGTTTTCACACGATAGTCAATCCCCGAACATTATAAAATGTGTCCCTGGCTTCTGAACTTGCCCAAAGTAAGTCTGACTACTGGTTTTTCCCTTCACAGGGGACGACTTAGCTTCTGTATTGTTGCTTCCTCAGGGGGAGACAGTCAAGAATAAAAAGTGTTCTACCACCTCTTTGCCTGGCTTGGTTTCCTGGGATTTGTCCCTGAAAATCGACATTTCTCCTAAGTCATCCAAGGACATTGGGCAATAGCCACACAAGCAGAACCACAAGCAGACAGCGGAGAGAGAAACCGCTCTAGACGGGTGCATGCCCATCTCTAGAAAGAGTCCACTTCTAGGATGTTCATGCCAACAATCTGCAGAGGGCCAGCACTGAGACATTTCTTCAAGGGTGGAAAGTCTAGTTAGAGATCTATTCAGACAAGAAAACCTGAATTTTCCAGACAAACTAAAACCTGCCCCCTGAGTCTTTGTCTCAAAGGAGTTGTTTCCACCATTAAAATGGGCGGAGCAATACTGATTTCCAGGCAGCCAGGCAGAAGGCAAGCAATTGAAAACCACACTGCAGACAAAGCTCGTCACCCCTGCTCCTTACGCGTATGTCCCAAGCCAAGAGATCCCAAACCAGCGTGGACGTCGACATTGGTAAAGGCACAGTTTTCAGCCTCCTTCCAAAGCCCTGAAGGGCACAGAGAAGGTGGTGATGGTAGCTGCAACTGCTTCCTTGGCATACTCACAAAACACAACCAGCATGGCTCAGGGGTGGCGAGCTTTGGGACACCTGTCAGTGGGGTTCCACCAAAGGGACTAGAGGAAACCCGATGTGCTGGCCAACCCCTAGGAGTGCAAGCACCAAAGGCAAGTCCGGGGCAGCGCAGACTCTGCAGGCCCCCTGGCTTTGGGGCTTTCTCTGGTAGAGCAGTCTCAAGTCACCCTCTCCCACAACATACCACTTGGCCATTCTTTGGGGAAGAGCATGAATTTGAGGCAGATAAAGATAGGATTTGGGGCTGTGTGCCACATAATTTACCAGAACAAAACGGGACTTAGAGACAAAAGCTTGGATCTATTATTTGTCAGCCCCTCTTCCAGCCACTCAAAGCTAAGACCCTCAGGCTTCTGTATCCCTCGACTAGTGCTGCACTTCACCTCTAAGTCTCCAAGGCCAGCATAAGTCACTCCAGGTCAACACAGCAGAGTAGTGCAAAACAATAAATTTTTATTTGTTCACAGTTAAACACAAGCAACTGCCTTGACATTTTAGAACATTCTAAGAAGGACAGCAAACCCTTTTGATTCCAATTCCCATTCACTAAGATTGTACCATTTTCTCTTGCAGTTCATATTTATGGCATCTGATGTGGATTGTTTGACATGCTTTTAAGATCAAGGTGGGAAAGTTTAAGCCTTTTGACAAGAGATGACTTTCTTCAATTTAACCAAAAGCAGTCAGTTAAAAAAAACCTGTTTCTTTTCGCTGATGGGACCCCTTTAAACTGCAAGTTAGCCACATATGGTTCATCCATGATTGAGTTATAAAAACTAGATTATGTCTTAGCAAAATCTGTTCCTCCGTAATATATTTGTGGTCCATAGAAGTCTTCTGAAAAGTGATCACTGATTCTTCCTAGTGCAAAATGCCTGGCTGCCTCTTTGATAAGCCAAAGTATTTGCTACACAGAGCAGCACCGTACCCTCCAGTCCAAACACTGTGTCGAGGTGGGGAAGGGGAGGGAGGGCTGGGTCTGGGGGTTCTCAAACTCTCAGGGTCTCTCCTCTAAAAGATCTATTCCAATGGTTAAGCAGCCTACTTATCCCAGAAGATGGATAATTTTGTGGCACTGGGAAGAGGGGAGAAAGCTCCTCTGCCTTCATTTACTCATTTTAAGACCAAAAGCAGTTGTGGGTGGAGGTGCTCAACTATCCCAGGCAGTTTCCCTTGTAGCTACAGCCACTCTCCTCTCAGGTGAGCAGGTACAGACTGTAGGACAGTGTGGAAAAAATGGAAACACAATCCCCTGGGCACATCGAAGAGTCCCAGACAGGGAAAGGAGCTACGTGGGGACGAGGGTCACAGCAGCAGCCTAGGGGCCAGTCCCCAATCTAAACTTGTTTTTTTACCTACAGACAGAAACTTAATCAAGTGCAATCAATGACTTTGCAGCGATCTGGGGGAGGGGTCAGGGGGCATGTGTCACACAGAACTCGATGTAAACAGACACGGACATCTTCAGACTGGATACATTTTCCTACTCAATCGCAGGTCAACTTTAAAGCATGTACCTCACAGAGCGAAGACGCAGCAGACAAGGAACACCGACACGAGTCATCGCACACGGGGCAGCTTTCTCCTCCAGGAGAGGCAAAGCCTCCTGGGTGGGACCGGGCTTCTCCCGGGACCACTATCCAGGAGTATCCGCGAAGAATGGGCGACACCCCTCCTCCACCCAGCCCCAGACCGAGGCTTCACTCTGCCCAGACCCTCCTCCAGCCCGTCACACGTCCTCCTGCCCCATAGTGCTTTCAGTGAGAAAAACCCAGTTTTGTCATGCAGTACTTTTATCTGTTTTTCAGTTCTTTCTGGCTGCAAGTGGTATGTTCTAGTATTTGGTAGAATTCACATTGGCTAGTCACAACATACTTCGGTTCTACTGTCTACACAGACACACATACCCAGCTTTCTATTCTTAACTGCGAGTCTGAGCCTCTGTGGTCCAGCTCACAGAGATCCTTTCAGCCCCACGACCATTTCATGCATACTCTGAACAACTGCTAGAGTTTTATCTTTCTCAAAAACACACTGGCAACTACATGTGCTGTCACAAACAGGGACAGCACGAGAGCCTGGGACTTTGTTTCCTGTTGTTCTGCTTATGCGCAGCGATGTGCTGGCCTCTCTGGCCACGAGGCTGGCGGGCTAATTTTTCTAATTGTCACTGCCTTCCAGGACCTCCAGCCGTTTACCTTCTATGAATAGTTTGGACTATTTCCCCCTAACCACAGCACATAAATTTTGGCTCACAAAGTAGCTCATCTATCATCTCTCCACTCACAGAGCCTAGTAAGAACCTTCTGCAGCTTATTCCCAAAGGTTGGGCAGTTTTCTTTCCTGAAAAACTGTTGGCAAACCTAGCGAGGTCACTGTCTGCCCACCTGCCTTAGTAACACTGGTCCTAGTACATTTTTTAAAACCTCTTGATCCAAGAAATGACCTTGACCTCCTACCTTTAGGTTTCAGTCAGTTTTCTTATATTCATGACCACGTATTTCTTCCAATTCCATAGTAACAATTTTTATAGACTTCATGGCAGAACCCTCTCAAAAGCTTTTGAAAAATCCGTAAAAGTTCTATCAAACAGAGATCCATGTGCTTATTTACCTGTAGGAGATTCAGGAACCCATTTTCTTTGCATCTTCCTGTCGCCTTCGCCCCCCTCCCCCCAATATCCGTAGTGCTTCTTTTAGAACAAATTCTGTGCTGCACGAGCAGCAGGCTCTAGTCTTCTCAGGGCCTGGGCTGACGCTGGGTAGTGTCAGGGGGAGTGAGGGCAGGTTATGTGCACTGGCCAAACAGCTCAGACAGGTCTGCCTGCTCACAGGGAGTCGTGGACGGAGCCCATCCAATCCCGACAGTTACAAATACCAAGCTGCTTACTCCGTTTCAAGACAGGCTCTGCCTTAACACTAACTGTTCTAATGCCTTTGCCCAGGCCTGCACTGCCTCTCAGGAGTTGTTCTACTACCACCTTTCCTTCCTTGAGCTACTCACTGCAGCATGATCAAGTGACCCATGGATTCTCGTCAGGTTTATCGCTTCTAAAACAAAATAAAACCTTACTATTGACTCTGGGGTCCATTACAACATAAAAGCCTAAAGTTTTAGGTTGGGTAACTTCACCATGACTCCAGGTCTCAATCCCCCAGCCTTGGTTGAATAAAACCCACAGCCTCCTAGAAATCAAAGGCACCTGAACTGGAGCTCTCCCGGGTCGCCCTGGTTGTAAAGGACACGCAGGCAGCAGGCAAGTGCCGAGGGCCCTGGGCACAGAGGCGTCTGCAAAACCTCAGCCTGGGCCTCAGTCCACTTTACCATGCTGCCTCCTTTCTTCCCTGTATTTTTACAATCTGCCCGTTTTCTAAAAGTGTTTTTTTCTTTTCTACACTGGCATCTTTCCTTTGCCAGTTAAGGCAAGGCTTTAAGTGCCTGGTACCTTTGTTCCATGGCACAGATCTCTCAGGCTTGAGGAGGGGAAAGCAATTAAAGCCAGTTTCAATAGTTAACCTATGACATTTTTTTTCCCTTTCTGCATTTGTTCACATTTTCCTTTTCTAAAACTGAACCAGGAAACCAGAATATACTAGATTTTAAGCTTTCCTTTGGACAAAGCTGAATTAAACGTGTGGCATCACCAACACTCCACGCTGGACATCCAGCGGCCATGGCCAGCCTGTGCTGGGTGCAGAGCAACTGGGGACATGCCCTGCCATGGGCTGGGAATCAGTCAGAGCGAGAATGCCCACCCTGAACAGGTCTCGTGCCAGTACAGCCAGGGTGACACAAGTCTCTAACGGTCTAGTTCCCTTTAGCTGGGGATGCTAGAATATTTATTGCCATATTTAAAAAAAGAAAAGACTTTTACCTTCATGTGCTGAAAGCTTCCGTATGCAGTAAAATTTCGTACCATTACAGTTTCTTTTATCTCTTTATGACTGAACCGTTCTATTCTTTTTACTGAAAGAACAGAAGCAGGAAAACCAAGATCATTGGCTCTTTCCTACCAACTCTCTCCTTGCCTCAGCTGGAACACTAGGCAACAATTCTTAGGCTTCTAGCATTTATTTCAGGAGCATTTGTTGAGTCTGGATTCTCTGCCACTGCCAGTTTTCTGACTGGTGTCACCTCTCAGGAGCATGTGGGGACAGCCCAGTGGGTACACACAGTCAGCCTTTGTCAACATTCTCCCAGACTCTGCTTTACACTACTCTGCCATTGCTGACGAGGGAGAGTGGGACAACATCAAGCTCCTTGGAGAGCTGGAATTGGTATGAAAAAGCTGCTCCCTCCCTTTTTGGTGGCCTAGAGCCTACTATAATGAGGCAACACTAACAGCCTGAGAAACAATGGTCACATAAACTCTGAAGAAACTCTTTGGACCTCCAGAGCCCTTCT